TCCCCTCTGACTCCAGTTTGGGTTGATCTTTCCCCACCTGGGTAAGTGCTAGGCCCAGAGATCAGTGCCTCCAGCTCACTGCCATGTGTCACAGCAAAGGCTCCTATCGTGGCATGTGCGTCAGTAGCTTGCCAGTGCATCTCTGTGATCTCCTCTGCCTTTCACCCCCCTTTCTTCTCCCTGTGCCTTGTTATGAGCTTTCCAGGGAGACTCGCGCTTAGGAATAATGTACAGTGAGGGCTGATCACCTGAGTTCAGCAGAGCTGATGATTGTCAGAGAGCTGTCTGCAATGCTTCCTGTGCTATTCCCCTGGCGTTGGTTCTGGACGTCCTTACTCAGGTTTTACTCATTCCACACCCAGGCAAAGAGCCCCTCGAAATCAATGAGAAGGGCAGGTGATGAACACTTCTTGGCTTCGCTCAGTCACTTGAGCATCAGGGGGTTCTGTCTGAGTACGGAAAGAGTAAAACCTGAGTAAGAGCTGCAGGACTTGGCGGGTTGTACATTGGTCAGTATTGCCTCTTTTGCTGTATTTATTCATAATAATAATAAAACCGAGGTAATGACAAGTTTCCATAGGGAACAGGGCGGCTCAGGGAAGTGTTGATAGCAGAGCTGGGCGGAAAAGTTCCCACAAAAAAATTTTGCTTTGGAATTTGTTGATTGGTGAAAATGGAAAATGTTTGTGGCAATGGTTAGATTTAGGACGGAACAGGGGCAGGTTTCCTGCCGACTGCCTGACTCCTCGGCACTCACCTGGTGTGCTGTTGGGGAGCCCCGGGATTACCAAGTCTGTGGTGCTGTGCAGATTCCTTCTGAGTTGGGGACCCCACGGCTTCCAGACTCCTGGGCCAGCTAGTTCCCCAGGCTGATGACTAGGACTGAGCTGGCCTGGGAACCACAGGAGTCTCGGTGCCTCAGCAGCCCACCCACTGGGCTGAAGAGGAGGCAGGAGGCTGGGATTCTTGGTCTCAGGAGCCAGGACCTGCAGAGCTTGGGAGACGTCCTGGCTCCTCTACAACCAGCCAGGCAGGCTACTGAGGATGCAGGGCTTCCCCAACAACCCTGTGAAGTGGTTATGCAGCCAGTGACTCAATTGCACCCCTCATGCTTGTTCAGTGGCTGTTGTGAACTGACCTGGTGGTTCAATTTGGTTTCTAGTGGCCACATCTCAACAGCGTAACATCACCAGTCCTGGAGATCGGCCAAGGCCCAAACAGGCCCTGGAACCTGCCCTCCATTGCTGCTGGCCAGTTTATATAGCTGGATAGGACTCTCTGGGATGTCAATCCAGCCCCTTTCAGCTGTTCTGGGCGTGGCAATGGCGCACACCTCAGCATGAGAGACTGACAGCAAAGGCACTTTTGTGTTTGCTGGGTTAGGAGCACGGAGCCAGAGTGCTGAGGGGACGGTGACAGGGTCATGGGTGCAGAGGAGGAAGCGGTTTGTGATCTGGGGCCTTTGACCTGGTGGTGGGTGAGTTCCAGCAGGAGTCCTGCACCTGGTGAGTGTAACCGTGGCCGGGCTGGAGCCATCCAACCCCCGTGTATGAAATGGATGAGGACAGTGTCTCCTGGCACGGCTTTCCCTGCTGTCTCCCCTGTGAGGAACCGACCCGCTCCAGAAATCCAGCCTCAGCCTCCAGGATGACAGTGTCTCAGGCAGAGATGGAAAAGCCTAGTCATTGCCTTGTCGCCCCCCACCCCATCCCCAACTTTGCTTTTGGGAGGCTCCCACACAGGTCACCATGTTGTGTGACAGCGGCAAAGGAATACAGAGAGTCACCTTCTAACACTGACCAAGGAGCTTTATTGGGAAAAGGCCAACAGTGTTATCCATAGAGCTACCCTCTGTGCCGGCTTCACCACTGAGCTTCTGCCTCAAACCATTCCCAGTCGTTTGGTTTTCTGCTATACACATCCTCCCACCCACTTCTCCCTCATAACCCCCTTCCATCACTGGGCCTAGAGCCCTGGGCCTATGGCTCCAGAAGCACAGGCCTCTACCACTTGGACCAAGGGAGATCTTGTTGATCTACTTCCAATCCTCTGTCCAGTGCACATCTCGAGTAGCCAGGATGGGCGCACACAGGGGAGTGAAGGGCTATGAATTCACACTCTCCTAAGGGCCCAGAGCAGCCCTTTGGAGGTGACTAGCCCTGTGCAGTAAAAAGGGGTGCAGTAGTGGACTTCCCAGCCCCCCATGCCCTGCCCCCCTGCAGAGTTGTTTTCCCTTGGGCAGTAGGGCATGTCACAGGGCAACTGGCCCCTGTAAGTGAAGTGAGTCCAGCCCAGGTGTGTCCCAGGTTGATCTGATTCAGAGGGCAGGGTGGCATGAGAGGCGCCCGGCTGTGATTGGAGGGGTCAGTGCTGGGAGGATGACACAGACTCAGAGACTGGCGGAGGGGCTAGCCTGCTGGGCTGGCTGTTCAATGACAGGCCAGGTGAGGCAGACGATGCCAGAGGTGAGGTCTGAGGTAAGTTGCTGGGCTGTGTCTAGAGAATGGTCCAAGGGCACGGCATTGGGGATAAATGGACTTTCCAGGACTCCTTGCACTAGGTGCGTGGCCTTGAGGAGCGGGTAAAATCGGACCCAAGGGAACTTGGGGTGGAGCCTTTAAGAAGCCTGAGAGGGGAAACTGAAGCAGTAACCTCAGCGTTATTGTGCCCAGCCACACGGGGACAGCAGGAGGCAAGGTGACAGAGTAGGATCTGCCCCGAGAGCACACTTTTGTGCACCACTGTCCCCCACTTTCCCTCTTGTGCAAAGGGGCAGAGGATCAGCAGGCCCCACTGATTTCAGGGAGAATTAATCCCCGTGAAGAGCTAAGACCAGGGCCCTCTCCCTCATCTCTTCCTCACTCTGCACTTCTGCTTTAGAGATGGGCCTCGGTCTCTGGACCGAAACACCCCTAACGCGCAGGGCAGCTGAATCTGGGCACGGAGTTCTGATCCATCTCACGCCTGCATGAATCCCTTCTTTTGTGCTTCTTTACCGCCCTTGAAACGTTCAGCTCTTCCATCTCGGAGCCCGTGTTCCCATTTCCACCACCAAGCAGTGGTGTAGCCAGGACGGGACACTTGGGTGGGCCCCGACTTCAGGTGGGTGATTAATGACAGGTGGCAGGGGACGGGGGGCAGGAGGAATTGGGGCCGCTTCCCCACCACCCTCTCCAGCCAGCCTTGCGGGGGTCGATGGACATGCTGGTCAGAGGCCCCCTGGGGCCCAGGCCTGCACCTGGTGAGCGGGGTTGGGGTATGGGGGCTTTGCTCGCCTGGCGCTCCAGCCAGATAGCAGGGTCTGGGTGCGGGTAAGCCCCCTCTCCCCAGCTGGAGTGCTGGGCAGAATGGGGTAAGCTCCCGCACCTCGACCCCACTCCCCGGCAGGAGTGCTGGGCGAGCAGGCGTAGCGGGGCAAGTGCTGGGGCCAGAGCCGAGCCAGGGTTGCGGGGGGGAGGGAGAGTGGACCTGGATGCTAAGTGGGTGACAGTGCACTCACTGTCTCTCACACTTCCCTAACACACACACACACACACACACACACACACACTGTCGCTCTCACACCCACATACATTCTGCCTCTCATGAGTCACAGTCCCCCAATACAGATTGTCTCACACACACACAATCTCACACTCCCCAACACACACTGTCACACAGTCCCCCAACACACCATCACACACTGTCTCTCTGTCTCTCTCACACGCACTGGCTCTCTCTCTCACACACACATACACACACTCTGTCACGCACATGCACACACACACACACACACACACACACACACACACACTTGTATTATTGTTGTAATTATTGCTTGGTACTTCCTGTCAAAATGCTCATGGTGTGCCAGGAGTGGCTAGGGGCTGCAGGAGGGCCAAGGTGCGAAGCCTGCCTTGAGCCACTGCCGCAGTGACTGCAGTGTACGAAGCTCGGTGTGTGTCAGCAACGGGGGATGGTTCTGGGGGTCCATGGGCAGGGGTGGTAGCTGTGCCCCCTCAACACACTGGGGTCAGTGGCGCCAGCTGGGGACCGCCTTCAGTGGAGCATAGGGGCACCAGTTTAATAATACTGCGTAGGGCCCCATAAATCCTAAGGACGGCCCTGGGGCTGGGCTAGGAGGAGCAGAGGGTCATGCACATGTTTTCTTGGAGCTCTCTTGGTGTTTCTGCTGAGTTTTGCCCTGAGCATGTAGCAGATGCCCCCATGGTGGCAGTTCCAATGCAGTTCCCAGGCTTTCCGCTCAGACCCTTCAGTCCCAGCTGGCATTTCTCTGCCCATCTGTCATGTGGCAGCTTCTGAAAACCACAGCCGATCAATTGCAGACTTTCAGGGGCCATTCTAGGCATCAGCGGGCAGAGCTTTATGGATTGGGTGACAATCGGAAAACCAGAAAGCTTGATTTCCACAAAAATCCCTCTTTGCTCACTCTGGATAGAGGGCTGAAGCAGTGAGCTCCGAGTGAGGGGTTAGCGTGAGAGCAGGGCTTTCTCTGCCTGCAGCACCAATGGGCACTCTGTGTCATTAATTCCTGAGTCGTCCTAGTCCTGCCACTGCCGCTGATGGCCTAGGTAAGGGACAGCAGTTACCTACCCGACAGGGCTGCTGTAAAGTGCTTCATGAGTGCTGAGCGTCATTAAGGTGTATCATGCAGGCAGACGTAAGGATCAGCTACCTTCTTGGCTCTGCCCTTCTCAGGTCCCCGTCAGCTCTTGGGAACAGGCATTCTGAAATATCTGAAAGAACCGAAGTGTGTTTCAAATGCACATTGTGACAGCCACCCAAATCTATCTATTTGAAGCTGCTTTTCGACCAGGACACACAACTGACTACTGGGTGCGTCTGATCTGCTGGGGATCATGAGGCAATAAAACCAGTGTTCGAATACTGGTGAGTCTTTGGCAAATCCTCAACTCCAAACATTGCTATTCTCCAACAGAGCTATTGTCCCCTTGGCAACTGTCTGACCAGGGCTGGCCTCCGGCCCCGCCACGAGCCATTCACAGGTAGGTAATCTCTATGACATTAGGCTCTGTGTTGTCGCAGGGCAGTTGGTGCTTACAGGAGCACTGGACACTCAGCGCAGCAGTGTCATTGCTGCCCGGGTCTCCCTGGTAGTTCTGAGCAGGCTGCTTGCTGCTTTTCCTTTTGGAGCCCAGTTTCTTCCAATCTGTTAGGTGCACCCCGTTCTCCAGATCCTGCGGCATGGGCTCGTGGTACAGGGTGATCTGCAGCGTGCACAGCTGCGGGCCGTAGCGCACCAGCACAATGATGACAACAGCCAATAGGACGAAAATGACCACGATGACCGTGATCATGGGAAGGGCATCGGCCTTCTTGGTCACACCCCGGACGACAGAGCCCGTAGTGAATCCAGCCAAGTCCGGAGGCTCTTGTTGCCTTGGCTGGCTGCTCGGGGTGGAGATATTCATTGTTGAAGGATGGACCCTCACCTGTGGAGAAGTAAAACAAATTGGACATATGTAGCATGTCATTTGAACCGTTCTAGTCTGTTACTGCCCGGATATCACTTGGCTAAGCGAAATGAGAACCGATCTGCAACTCAACGGCATTTCTCTGTTTGGAGGTAACCCGGGAACTTTTGAATGATGCAGCTGATCAATTGCAAAATTTCAGGGATATTCTAGGCATCAGCAAGCAGAACCCTATTGGTTTGGGTGAACATTGGAAAAGTCTGAATTCCACTAAAATCACAATTTGATCACTCTGGATGCAGGGGAGGGTCAGGGTTAGAGTTCACTTCATTTCACTTGACTGTGTCATTCAGTACAATTTCAGTGTGATGGATCCTCCGTTCCGGTCCTGAACTGTGGTGTGGCACCCAACCTTGCCCTCCTATTCCCCTGACACTTGTGGATCCTGGCCCCATAGTGACCCTTCCATGGTATCCTCCAGAGCAGGGAGATTGTGTCGGAGGGCCCAGGATGAGGGAGATCCAGTCATGGAGGGTCTCCTATATACATGGATCTAAGGGGGATGATTGGGCCTGGTGTAAGGAGTTTTGGATATGCATGTTTTGACTGAACCGATAATCCCAAATTATCTGCACTGTGCAGCACCTGGGCAACACCGATATGCTACTCTGAAACATGCTGCATCCTGGATCCTCTGTGATAGGGGTGGGATTCATCCAGGATTATCAATAAGGAAGAGCCCTGTAGCCCTCACTGTGGGGGAAGGGCAGAGGCGCTCTAAGTCCTGTGCAGTTTGCTCTCTCCGACCCTGCAGAAGCTATCTGGGATAAATCACATTGACAGTAAAACTAGAGCAGCACAGCAGATGTGCCATTATTATCCGCAGGCAACTTGGCACCAATTGCCAGCAGATTATCTGAAGAAACGGATTATTTAAATGCCTGGTACAATGGCTGCCAGCTCGCCATTCTGTGGGTGGGCGGCTGTTTGTTGAGTGAGGTGTTTAAACATACAAGGATGCTCAAGCTAGCAGATCATTTTTTCATTCCATTTGCCCAAATTCTGTCCGTGGGGTAGTGCCTGCTCACTGGTACCCTGCAGCGTTCTGTCTGCACGGGGCAGAGGCAGGTAGCTTCCCTCAGCGTCTACAAAGGCAGTATAGCCACACCTTTCCCTACCACTTCTTTATAAAGGAGCAGCATGCAGAGGCGGATTAAGGGTTTTGTGGGGCTCTGGGCCAGAGCAAGTGGGGGGGGGCCCTCTCTACCCCTTCTGCCTGTGGTCCCGCCCCTGTTCCACCCCTTCCGCCTGCAGCCCTGCCCACAGCTGCACCCTATTTTCCCCTTCCTCCCGCAGCCCAGCCCTTGTCCACCCACGGTCCCATCCCATTCTGCCCCCCCCCCCCCTCCCCCCCCCCCCCCCCTTCCCCCTTCGCCCCCCCCCCCCCCCCCGTTGGCCCAGTGGCTAATCTGCCACTGGCAGCAAGCACTGCCCTCAGGGCCTGTTGCACAACTGGGACTGGAGCCATGGCCAGGTCCCAGTCCATCCAGTGTGCTGGCAGCCAAAGTCTAGCACTGCAGGCAGTGCTGGGTCTAGAGCCCAGGGGTGAGTGATTAGCGGCTCATCAGCGGTAGGGTGACCATAGATCTCATTTTGGCTGGGACAGTCCCTTTTTCAGCCCTGTCCTGGCAGTCCTGACTTTTTTGGCGAAACTGGGCATTTGTCCCATTTGTTCTTGCCAGCTGATCATCATTTGGCAAGAGCAAACTGGACAAAGGCAGAGTTTTGCCAAAAAAGTGGGGTGGAACCCCTAGCGGGGCGCAGAGGAAAGTGTGTGGGGGAGCAGCAATGTCAGCCCTGTGCCAGTGGGAAGGCTAGGGAGAGTGGCTCTGGCAGGTGGCCGGGGGCTGCCCCATGTGCAGGGGGCTTCAGGTCGGGCTCAGGCCAACCTTGCATGCCAGGGGAAGAGTGGGGCCTCAGGTGGCCCCCATGTAAGGGCAGCGGGGGGCTCAGGTGAGTCCAGGGCACTGAGGGGGAAGGAAGATCTCAGGCCAGCCCCACACAGGCAGGAGGCAGGGAGGTTTCGGGCTGGCCCTGGAGGGATAGGGGGACCTCAGGCCGACCCCGCATGGGGGAGGGAGAGGGAGGCCTTGGGCTGGCCTGTGGGGTGTCTTGTTCTCCCTTTGGGAAAATATGATCACCCTACTCAGGGGAAACCAGAAGCTAGCCCAGTATTTGGTCACTAATTTCATAGATTCCAAGAGAAGAAGGAACCCTGGGGGTCATCTGGTCTGACCTCCTGTGTAACACAGGCCAGAGAACTTGCCCAAAATATTTCCTACAGCAGATCTGTTAGAAAAACATCTTGATTTTAAACATTGTCAGCGTTGGAGAATCTACCACGACTCTTGGAAAGTTTTTCCAATGGCTAATTACCTCCCTGTTAACAATGTTTGCCTTACTGTATTTCCAGTCTGAATGTGTCTAGCTTCAACTCCCCATGTAAATGGAGTAAACACAATACCCAGCAGCCACCCCTAGAGGGAGTTTGGGGAAGGAGTCAGGAGAGGGAAAGGGAAACTGAAGGATGGGCTCTGACTCAGCAACTCACTGAAGCACACATTTAATGTCAAGCATGTGTAGTCCAGCTGAAGTTAGTGTGAAGTGAGTGGGGTTGCTCATGTGCTTAAAGTTACGCGTGCGTTCACATGTGTTACTGAACCGAGACCGTGCAGAGCTTGTGTGGGTTGTCCTAAAGAATCCACTCGAGGGCCCCTCCCCCCACGGTCCTCTTGCCACTTGTGTATCTCACTCAAAGTGCAAATCACTGAAGCACTGTTAGGGAATCAAATGCTTCACAGCAAAGTCAGCCTGAACTGGGCTGCCTGCCTGTCTTTATCAAGCGGGGAATGAGGACTGTAGCTCTTCTGAGCTGCCTGGGTCCGTCTCCCGATGCTACCATATCCCATCTCCTGCCAGGGCACTCTGCGTTAATTTCAGGTGATGTAAATTACATTTGCGCAAATAACTTACTCTGCAACTAGAGTAGAAACTGCAAAATTCTCAGCTCCCTTCCTCTAAACCAGTAGCTCTCAACCTTTCCAGACTACTGTACCCTTTTCAGGAGTCTGATGTGTCTTGCGAACCCTAAGTTTCACCACACTGAAAAATTACTTGCTTACAAAATCAGACATAAAAATACAAAAGTATCACAGTTCACTATTACAGAACCGTTACTGACTTTCTCATTTTTCCATATCATTATAAAATAAATCAATTGGAATATAAATATTGTGCTCACATTTCAATGTACGGTATATGCAGCAGCATAAACCAGTCATTGTATGAAATTTTAGTTTGTACTAACTTCGCTCATATTTTTTATGTAGTCTGTTGTAAAACTAGGCAAATATCTAGATGAGTTGATGTACCCCCGGAAGACCTCTGTGTACCCCAGGGGTGCACGTACCTCTGGTTGAGAACCACTGCTCTATACCCTGCCCCTGCTCTGTCGAATTCCCCGGTCAGGGCAGCTCTTGGGCAGCCCAGTCTCTTCACAATGCACCCGGATTTGTGTGCAGTTTGTGCCCAGGACACAGAGTATCACTGAGAAAATGTGAGAAGGGAGGTTGTGAGCTGAGGCGGGAAGAAGTGACTCAGTGACAGGGAAGGGGAGGGGGTTTGAAGAGAAAAGGAAGAAAAGTGAAAGAGTACCCTGCAGCTCAGGTAATACCTTAGCTTCCCAGTCCCCGTGGGAGTCCAATTCATCTCTGGGGAGAAGCTCTGAGCCTCAGGGTAGAACTCGGTAGAAATGGCTCCCAGCAGGTCAGATGGGGATTGAAAGTGCTTTATTGGAACTGGACTCACCCAAGAAACTGCCACATCATTATACACACACACACCCACTCACCGGGGAAAGAGGAAATGTCTCTTCACATGCGCTTATGCTGGACTCGTGCCATGCCACATCACACTTATGTACACACATGAGGTAGAGAGAGGCACTGCATCACACCGGGAAATGCCACATTAGTACTCTGTCACACATGCGTACATACGCTCCCACCCCCACACAAAGCATTCCTCTCGCCAAGCTACTCTCACTCTCGTGCTAGAGTTATATCCCTTTACTCAGGAAAATACCCCCTCACTACAGCTACGTGTGCACATACACAGACCCAAAAGTTTGTCTCCTGCACCCAATCTTCACACTTCCCTGAAAAAAAAAATCCTTCCCCCTCCCCATTTTGATACTTTTCCTTAAACGTTATTGGGTTTTTAAAGAAACAAAGTACAAAACTAACCCAGTCTTTCTCTCTGTGCACCATGATCCTGGCCAGTCTGTCCAAGCAAACTCATCAGAGTCACCTGAGACATTGTAAAAAGTGCCCCACCAGGTGAGTTTTTGGTGAGCACCAGGGGTGCATTGCTGGTCTCATGCCCTGAGTGGGTCAGTTTTCTTGGATGGGTGTTCCCTCTGGTCAGTTTCCTTGAGTGTACCCTTTGGTCAATTTCTCAGTACCTTGCTGTGGGAAGCCATTTAGGAGAGAGCGAAGTGTCACTGCCTGTTTCCAGCAGTGCCCACAAGGCGCCTGGCTCCAGACAAACACAAAAGGAGGCTCAACCCCGGCCATGCAGTGGTTACACTCCAGATGCAGGCTATTGAATTCCCTTGCAGTTTTATCTATGAAAAACACCTGTCTATATGTAAAGAGAGCAACAGTAGTCTTGATATTCTAGCGGGACTAGGTCCTATTATAACACTGTGAGGAAGTGGATTTAGTCCATTCAGGGCTTATTTTGAACTCAAATGTGATTTCTATAGGGGAGAAAGACTCAGTGCTGCGGTAACTTCTGATATATCTCTGTGTGAAATGCCATCC